CTTCCCTGCTTGGATCCTGTGTCCCTCTCTTCAAAATAAACATTAAAAAATTTTTTAAAAAAATCCCACTATAAAATTTAGGAGCTGGTCACATGACTCATTGTTGCAACCTTGGATCTTTTAGTGACAAAATTCTAGCCAAAGCATCCACATTTATATGTGGGTGAGGTTAGATATCCTGTTGCCTGATTGAAGAAGAGGTCTTGATCTGGACGGCTGCCCCCAGAGAGAGACGCGCCTCAGGGCTTAAGTGAAAAAGATTTTATGTGGCAAGTCAAAACATTTAGACTAAATGTTTTCAAGAGGTGGGGGATCAATACATGCTTGTAAAATGTAGGAAGTAAGAGATATATGATATATAATATTATATATATAACAATTTATTTTTTTAATTTATTTATTTTTTTTTAATTTATTTCTGAGAGAGGAAGAGAGAGAGAGAGCGCATGAACAGGGGAGGGTCAGAGAGAGAGGGAGCTACAGAATCTGAAACAGGCTCCAGCCTCTGAGCTGGCTATCAGCACAGAGCCCGACGAGGGGCTCGAACCCACGAACCGTGAGATCATGACCTGAGGTGAAGTTGGACGCTTAACCGACTGAGCCACCCAGGTGCCCCATAACAATTTATTATATATATTTACATATTACTTATATTACATATATACTATATAGTACTATATCATATAATACTATATACTACTATTAGTATATATGTTACTAATATGTAATGTTATATTTTATAAATATAATAAAATACTATAATAAAATAATGAACATATATGTATGATATATTACATATGTGTGTGTGTGTGTGTGTGTGTGTGTATGTATATATTAAAGACTGAAAAGAACAACTATTTAGTGGCTCATGATTCTGTATGTTGGCTGTTTGAGCACGACTCAGCTGACAAGTTCTTCGACCTGTGTCCTCTGGGCTCCGCCCTGTGGCAGTAGTCCACTGAGAGCCTGGTGGAGTCTGGTGGTCCAATGTTACCTCGTTCACATTCCTGGTGGTTGGCTCTGGCTGTCAGGAAGGCTCCCTTTTCCACATAGTCTCCTATCCCCGAGGAACCTAGCCTGGGCTTCTTCCCCCCCCACCACCCAAATATAGTTAACTTTTGAGTTTGGTCCTGTTCAGTGATGATGGCCTTGGGCTCTGAATTCTGACTACCAGTCACATAGAGATGCCTGCTTTGGGCCAATAACTTAACTACTCTGAACCTTTGTTGCTATGATAAAAGTAGGTTAAAAGCTACTATACACAGTGCCCAGCAAATGTACATTCTTGAAAATCCATAGCTACTATACTTATTATTATTTGTGTTGTTTTCTAATTATTATTCTTTTCACTGTATCTAAAATATTCCATTTTCTTCCTCCTATGTGGCTGGGTGTGACCATGTGACTGGTTTCTGGAAAACATGTACAAGCTACTTGTAGGCCTGACCACAACAACTTCTCCATGATTCTCCCCAACTCTCTCCTTCTTAGTCTGCCAGCTGGAAGCAAAAATCCTAAAGAGGATCAGGAGACCCCCAAAGGAATGAGCCACAAGATGGAAGGGGCCTGGGTCCCCATATGACCAACTAGAAGGTCATTCATCTATTATATTCATCTACATCTATTGTATGAGCAAGGAATATATTTTTATCATGTGAAATCCCTGAGATGCTAGGTATTGTTTTTAGCATAGCAAGTAATACCATAACTAATACAGACATTAAAGGGGGAATCTTAAAGGAACATTTCCTGCTCAATCTTTTTTCTGAAGGTACAGAAGCTCACTCAAATGGCCAAAGATTCGGGCAATATAATTGGAAGCACATGGAAATAATCCCAAGAATCCCAGGAAGGAGGTAGAGTCAGGTTTCATAATAGACAGAAACCATAAACTATAAAGCCATCAACACAAGTCACTCCTTTCATCTCTCCAGCAGTGCAAGGACTCACATTTCTGCATACTCTTCATTTCTTTCTGTCTACACACTGACTGCTCTTCTCCTTGTACCTAGTCCAGAGCCAGCTGCCTTGGGTTAGTCCTGGAGGTGCTCTCAGAGAGGTTGAAGGGCCTACCTTGGGCCAAATTTACATCCTGGTCCAATCAGCTGTGGCTAAAGGGAAGAAGGGTACTCAGCACAACACTGGTCAGTTCTCATAAAAGGTAGAGGACGCCTGATGACGTACCCAAGAAAGATCAGGCAGGACTCTTAGTAACTCTCTCAGATTAATATTGGCAGGACCAATGCTTCACATTCTATTGTGTGATTAATCCATTATTTTTTACAACTTCTTCCCCCCCCCACTAAAAAATGTACATTTAACAAAAGAGTCTTCTTTTTAGTTATCTATAATAATTAGGACTATACTTAAAATTTTTGTCCCTTGTAATTTGATCTTAATTATTAAGACATAATAACTCTAAGTTGATGAGGCAAAATTTATCACTCCATTGTCTCTCATTAAATTTTAGTTACATGTTGTTAAACTTACTCAGGCACGAGGCAGACTGGCTGAGATGTTGGCAATTTCCTGCTGGCCTTGACACTTAGGCAAGAACAATTTGTTAGACACCCTTCTCATTACTTCTAGGTAATAGGAATCACACTGAGTGTTTGCAATGCGCTGGAGCTGCCTTAATGCTCAACTATGCCATGTTTTAAGCTCCGGCATGCAGGCATCCCCTGGGTTTACTCTGGAACTCCTGTTCAAATGATTTCATGCTGTAGCTCTCAGTCGAAATCTCCTCCAGCTCCTTGGCTGAATTGCTTTGCCACATTTGGGGCCAATCAACAGAAGATGTTTATCTCTCAGAAGAGTATGAGCTGTTGATTCCCAAGACACTCAACACTCCCTTTACAGGGACATAAACTAACCGTCATTTTCATTAAGTAATTTCCACTGAATTTCTGGAGTCAGATAACTGAGGATGATAGGAAGGATAATATGGCTGCCATGAGTTAGAAAATATGACAGAGTAATCTTAGCTTATCACAAGCAAGGATGACAGAAGCAACACCAGAGAAAAGAAGAACCACAAACCGATGAGGAAGAGATATTCTGAGGGCATTCATTTTTCCAGAACTACCTCTGAAATGTAGAGGGAGATGAGAAAGGAGGTGACCCTGAGTGAAAGAATATATGAGAATAGCATCTCCCAAACATGACTAAGGGTTTCTACCTTCTCTTGGGCCGAGGCTGGCAGTAGGAGAGGTGGATGTGAATAAAATCAGGAAATTAGAGGGTGCCTGGGTGGCTCAGTTGGTTAGGCATCTGACTCTTGATTTTGACTCAGGTCATGAACTCACAGTTTGTGAGATGGAGCCCTGCATTGGGCTCTGCGCTGACAGGGCAGAGCCTGCTTGGGATTCTCTCTCTTCCTCTATCTCTATGCCCCTCTCCTACTTGCACTCTCTCTCTCAATAAAAAAATAAACATGAAAAATATATTTTAAAAATCAGGAAATCAGGACATGACCAAAATGAGTAGGGCTTTCAGAAGGTCTAAAGGTATTGGCCGTGATGGAGGCTAGGGAAAGACATATCTCACACTACAGAAACCATTGAGAAGGTTGCACCCAAATGTCCTCACCAATTCAGCAACTAGGGACAGTTGGAAGAGCAGCCATGGGAGTGGAATCTAGTGGTTTGGAAAATGTCAGCAATCATATTTCCATTTGTGGGCTGTCCATTTTGTATTTGCTGTTTTCAGCTTCTTTTCTGAAAACCTCATGAAAAAGCATGGTAAAGAAAAAGATTCTTGGGCTGTACCTTTTACATCCTTCAGATAGCCCTGGGGGTGCCAAGAGGGGTTAGCTTGTCAGCAAGCTAGTCACAACGTCCATCTGTTAGCACTATGCCAAGGCGTGTGTGTTCGCCCCAGAACCTCAGGATGGAGATATTATCATTGCTACTCTACAGATGAGGGAGCCAAGTGGATGAAGTTGGGTATGGTTCCTGATTTCCATGACTTGAGAGCCTAACTGTAACCACAGAAATCCACTGCTTCCAAAGTTTTTGGAAAATTAAGAAAGGTGCACTCCACTTTTCTTACCTGGGAGGTTCTAGCATGGTGTAAGAAATAAATAACTGTTGGTTTGTTCATGTCCTTTGCATTACCTTGAGCTGCTAAAAGTTGGGTCAGAGGGATTATTTCTGAGCCAAGCAGGACCCCAGAGGAGCACAGCTGGGAGCATCATAAGCAGCAGCAGCACATCAATGAGAAGGAATATGAGAAAATCAGAGCTGGTCCAGCTCATTTATGCACTCCTTCTCAGAGCCTAGAGGCCTGGGTGCATCCCAGGGGCAAGAGTGGTCCCAGGAGGGTAACATCCCAGGAGATGGGGCAGCATGAGGCAGGACTGGGGTCTTGAGCTTCACGCTGAAGGCCCTGCCGGGGGCCCTGTGCTTGGGATACAGTTAGGAGCGAGCACTCACTGCACAGTGTTGGGGAAGGGGTGATGGAATGAAAGAAGCGAAGACATCAGGAAGAGTAGCACCACTGGAGGGCCTTTGCAATGCCAATTTTCTGGTGGCCCACCCCTCAACATTTTGAAATTTAGCAGAAGCAACAATGTTGGCAACATCTGCTGCTGACTCCCTAGGAGGGTATTTTGTTATCTTATCTACCCAGATGACTCAGAGAAGCAAGCGTCTAAGTGCGTGAAGGGTAGATTAGTTGGAATCTGGGGTGTTTCCCAGTCTGAGATGATGATCCTAGGATGACAGGACATGTGTTGATGTGGCCCCCTGCCTGGCTTTCTTATAGAACCTCCACCCTCTAATGCTCCTGATCGAGTTCCCTTCATCCTGGAATTATCCCTGTGGGCCCCAGCCTCTTCTACCTCTCTGACCAATGCACTTGGCCTCTCGTCCTTTAGTGACACGAGACTCCGAAGAAGATAACCCTGTGTGCCTTTGGCTGTGTGGACCACTCCTCATCCTTTCTTCCTTCAGGCACTGGAGTTTATAAACATGTGTTACAGAAAAGCCATTCCTGCTTTCTTTGGAGTTCATAAGACCTGTAAGAGTCATTAATAGATGATTATAAGCAAGTCAACTCACAAATCTTATTTGAATATTGTCTTTTTAAGTTTTTAATTGTTCCATGAAGCCAAAACCTATAGCATGGCCATGTCACAGGACCGAGCAGGAAGGCCACACAGGCATGCTGTCACAGCCAGGGAGGCCCGCCTACTGGGAATGGGCTGTGTGGATTCTGTGTGGCTTCCAGCAGAGAGACAAGGCCTACCCATGGCCATGAGAGTTGTCAAGCCCTGTGTGAAATGGTCTCTGCAGACATCCTACCCTTGGCCAAGCAGTTCAATACTTGTGAGTATTGTGAGGAAACTCACAAGTTTCCCAAAAGTAGAAGAGCATAGAGGACTCTCTGAAGGGAAAGCCTGAGATTCTGGACTTTTGCAGGAATATATGGTGGTTTGAATTCACCATATTGTAAGTGGGAACTTGCTCAGGTATAAACTAACCTGTGTCATCTAGAGGCCTGTGTTGATCATAAGTTTGTGCAGGAGTAAATGCAGGATGGTTAGCAGAAGAGTCATGGAAATTTAAGTTTAAAGGCCTGGGGTAAACAGAGGACCCACGTTCCTTGGTTCTTGCATTATGTACCTTCTGTTCGCTGTGAGTATTTCAGGAGAGGCTACCATGTTATGGCAGTGGCTGTGGGTGAGTCTGCAAAGGGGGACACTCCAAGTCAAGGGCACGGTGGTGGGAATGAGGAGCAGCAGGTCTGAAGAGCCAGTGACTTCCGGGGGATTCCAAGAAAGGGCACGTGTCTTGTCTATTTTTGGGCTTTGTCAACTGTGGACCCCAGTGATTAGTGTCATCAGGGCTGCTCATGACCCAGTAAGATAAGGACATTTCTGAAGACTCAAGAAGAGCCAGAGAAGAGAATAACCCATATTCAGGTATGATGCCCTCACCCCACCACTGCCATGAGGACCCGTAGGCTACCTGCTATGTCCAGATGCCACCTGAGAGAGTAGTTCACTGGCTAAAGCGGTTGAGGGAGAGGGGGCATGTCAGAAGAAAAGCCTCAAAAAAGTTGCCATTTGTTCAAAAGACTTGGACTTAATCCAGTGTAAAACTATTACTTATACTATTTATAATATAATATAATACAGTATAATATTAATAATAAGACAAAGAAGAGTTAGTAACAAGGCAAAGTAAGACTTAGTAAAACTAAGACTTACACCATTTTTTAAATGCAAGACACAGAGTGACATCTAATCAGGTAGCTTTGTGGTCACCTTGAATTCTACTATCCAATATGGTGACTACCAGCTAGCGGCACATGGCAATTTAAATTTAAATTAACTAAAACTAAATGAAATAGAAGGTTCAGTTCCTCAGCCCCACCTGTCACAGTTCAAGAGCTCGAGAGCCATATGTAGCTAATGGCTAACATATGGGACAGAGCATATATAGAGCTCTTCTGTCATCACAGAAATTTCTACAGGACAACACATAAGCCCCAAGATACCAGGTCTCTTCTCTGTCTTATTCCCATCTGTGTCCAGAGGCACATAGAGAGAGCTCAGCACATAAATGACTATAGATGAGGTTTTCCCTAAGGTAGAGCTCTCCGAAATATGGTCCTAATCAACATCTCCAGGCTTCATGTCTCATTACCCATCCATTCACTAAACACCTATCTATGAAGGGATGTTGATGTGCCCAATGCTCTGGTAGATGCAGAGGACAAAAATAAGACATAATGCCTGTCTTTATTGAGCTCACTTTCTACCAGGGAAGACAACAAAAAAACAAACAACTAAATGCACCCAACAATTATGCTGGTGAGAAATGTCATGAAGGAAACAAACATGTTGGGAAGGGCAAGGATGCATCTGCTTCATGGAGAGTAGCCAAAGGTTTCTCTGAGGAGGTGGCATTCCAGAAACTCCCTGAATCTGTAGCCTCAGAATCTGTCCCAGGGGTGGTACAGAAGAACACTGAATAAGTAATTGGTGGATGGATAAATGAGAAGAAACCCAGCATTCAAAGGATCAGGGATAGCCCATTCTTGGTAAATTGAGTCTGAAAATTTTGATGGGGGCAGAAGCGTGGTCACTGTAAAGAGCAGAAAGAAACCCATTGAGAAAAGCACAGGGTCAGCAGGTGGGAGAGAGACGTATGCCAGGATTTTGAGAAGTATGTGAACCTCTTTTTTAGGGGCATGCGACATGATCTAAGTTATGTTTAAATGAGGCCGCTCTGTTTGAAGAAGGGCACTCTGTGGAGACTGGGTTGGGGTGGGGAGCAGGCAGTGAAAGTAGAAGCAGGAGATCCAGTAAGAACCTCCAGCAGCAACCAGAAAGAAGAGGTGAATGAAGGTGCTGGTTGGACCACCCTTGGAGCAGGGGCACGGACAGCTGAGGACACGTGCTGTGTGACAGCCAAATGGGACATCTTATTTCCAAGGCTGCTCAGGCTTCTCCCCTCTCTGCTTCCTGTCCCCACCCTTGCTTTCCTTCCTCCTCTCAGGATGGCTTCTCTGCCATTCTTGCTTTGGAAATTTTACCGACCTCTCAAGACCTCATATTTATCTTGCCCCTCGCTGAACTCACCCTTTATTGCTTGGAAACATCCCAGCACAAATTATCTGTCCCACTCACACGTGTGGTGTTCAACATGCTACGTTGTATTCTGATTTTTGTAGTTTGATCTTCCATCTTGGTTTTGAAAGTACTGGACGACCTGGGTGCCTCTTCAACATCTTCTCATACCTTATTTCAGAGTTAGCACCTCGTCTGGTATCTTAGATGTGAGTGCACAGTAATATTTGTTGAAGGATCAAATGATTGTGTCCTTTTGGAGGTAGATCTTGCTCTGCATTTAACATCTTCTTTTTATTTGCATAAGCCCACTTCTTTGAGTGTCATCTCCTAACCAACTCTATGGAGAGGATACAAAACTATTCTTTTACACATAGTAACTGTCCCTGATGGGATGCATTTGGCAGCAACAATGGTCTGAAACCTCCAAAGGCTTGGTAAGGGCTGTGGGGAAGTGCGAAATGTGTTCAATTAACTCCCGTTACTCAAAGTAAATGGAGATGCTTAAGCCAACAGTCATATATTCTCAATTGCTCCTATGACACAACTGTGAACTCCTTAAACATGGTTTATTCATTTTACTGGCAGGACAGCAGGAGCCCGGCACACAGTAGGCTCTCTGGGCACATTGGTCCAATGTGCACAGACTCATATGAGCATGGAGCCTCCTGAGGAGCCACATGGAGGGAGGATCCCCTTGGTGGCAGGTTACTTTGCAGTTAGGGAGCCCACTGATAGGCAATCCTCAGGGTCCCTGGGTTGGCTGTGTTACATTTCCACTGCCTACCCTGGCCCGACAGCCATTTGGCATAAACCAAGTGAAAATGTAAGGATAAATATGATCAACCCATCCGACCTGTCACCCACCATCACTTACCAGCCATATCATTTTCTCTCTACCCCTGTGTTCATCTTTCCCATGTCCTCTACCCTTCATTCTATTCCGCAGGGATCCTGACAAAGGACCTCCTTCCTTTGCTCCTTTAATCAGGTCAGATAAGGAAGCCATGGGCGGTTCCTTTCCTTAATCTTTCTTTTCTCTTTTCTCTCTTAAAGTTTTTTTTTTAATGTATTTGTCTTGCAAATATTAGCATCAGATCTATTTTTGTGTTAACTCAGGGTGTCTTACTTTGTGGTAACTTCTAGCTCATTATCACAGTCTTAATTTTAGAAGTAAAATGAGAGGCCTGTCGTCAGGGAAGCTGGAAAGGAGGCTCCATGTGTAGGCTGCCCCTGACTCAATTCTTCTACCACCATTTTTGTTTAAATGTGCTACCATCCCTGGAAGAAGTGCTTCCTTCCTCCTTTGTTCCTCTTGGTGGTGGGAGGGGAGGGGGTTCCTCCTATTTTCTGCAGCCCTTTACTTAAGGAGGCATGAATAATTCAGGACACCGGCTCCCTTTCTGGAAGCCCAGGTGAGGGCAAAGGGCCTAGCCCAGGCCAGCAACTCATTTGCTTTCTCCTGCCAGACTCCGCTGAGATCACACAAGGCTCCTGGCTGGCCAGACCACAGCTGCGCTCGGAGAGGAGAACATGGTAAGCATTGACTTTGGGGTTGAGATCTGCTTTTGTTTTCTCTCTTTAGCTACTTACCAGCTCTCCTTAATCTATGAGGATGTCAGAGGCCACGACTGGAACGGAGGCCCCTCTGTCCTTTCCGAGCAGCAGCCAGCTACCCACAGAAGGCTCTGATCCCAGGCTTGGACCCAGGCTGCCTACACCAGACCAGGTAAGGGGACTTTGATTTTATTCTTTGATTTTACAAATATTATTATGAGACTCAAAGATGAAGTTGTAGCCATGACTGAAGAGACTCGACTTCCATCCTGAGCTAGACTTTCTGCATGGGGTTGAGGAGGCGGCAAGATGGACCCTTATCTCTAGGATGGGTACTAGTCTCAGAGCTTCAGGGATCTGTACAAGCTGGTATTTAAACCTTCTTCTCTCCCAAGTCTTCAAGGTGCTTTAGTTCCAGAATCCTTTGTTCAGCAGTTGAGTCTGGCTTCTCCACCTAGTCCTCAAATATTTCCCTTACAGTGGTTGCTATGTTCAAGTTTCTACCTAAAGATAAGATCTAACAGGTCAGAGCCATTATTTGGGATTTCTAATTCAAATCTGAGAAAGGATTCCAATTTCCAGAATAAAGACTAAGGAACTTGTGCCCAATCTCTACCAGTCTTCTCATTCCCCCTCTGCATTGGCTACATTCCCTGACTTCATTCAGGGCACTTAACCACCCCTGACTGGGAAGGGCCATATCTATTGTTTAAAGACCTCCAGAGAAGATTCCAGAACTTTCTTTGACATTCCACCGCCCTCTGCAATAATCCTCCCTGACAGAACAAGTTTCTCACACACCAAAATAGTCATCCCACTTCTGAGGGCTCTTCTTATCTTTCAACTCCGGAAACAATCAGTGATCCATCATTTGTTACCATTCTCTTAACAGGAACACTAACTGGAAGATGCTTTACAGCTGTGTTTATACTTGTGGCCCCCATGACCTTTCTCCTGAAGTTACTTAAGTTGTTAACTAATCTTTTCTTGCCTCCAGACCTTGTCTAGTCCGATTTATACTGCACATTACTGCCAGTTTAATCTTCTCACCTCACTGTTTTGATCAAGCCATCCCAACCACACCCTCCCAAACGCAGAGGAAAGCTTTCCATCGACTGGTAAACTGAGTACAAAATTCTCATGTGAGGCCCCTGGAAGGGGAAACGCATGGCACCCAAGCCTTCCAAGTTAGCTCCAGTCACCCTGTAGGCTCCCTCCTTGCTCTCTGACATCTCGGCCATTTCTCCTCATAAGGCTGTTCCCAGCTCACAGACTACCCACCATTCCTATTCTTACCTCACAATCCTATTCCTACACCATTCTCTGAGGGCCATGGGGTGTCTACATTAATTATACAGGTTCATTGACCTACTTGCTTATAGAAGGTCTGGTTAGAAAAACAGATACAGAGACATACATTTCAACACATTTAATATGGTGAATCCAGTGCGTGGGCGGCTACTCTGGGGACATAGCATGGAGACCCATAACCTTCTTTGCGGAGATGAAATTTAAACTGTGTTTCAATGGACAGGAAGGAGATAGTCAGGCGAAGAGGTTGGCAGAAGGGTATTCTAGGGAGAAGCGACCACCGACGCAAAGAAAACTAAAAGCAGTTTTTTAGATCATGCAGTGGAGGGTGCCTGGGGGGGCTCAGTCGGTTAAGCATCCTGCTTTGGCTCAGGTCCAGTTTCTCACAGTTCGTGGGTGGGAGCCTCCCATCGAGCTCTGTGCTGACAACTCGGAGCCTGCTTTGGATTCTGTGTCTCCCTCTCCCTCTGCCCCTTCCCCGTTTGTGCTCTGTCTCCATCTCTCAAAAATAAATAAATGTTGAAAACAAAAAAAACAAAAAAAACCATGCAGAGGATTGTAGGGAAGACACAGACCAGCCATTGTGAGCACGGGGCCTGCAGCAAGTCTGTACTGCACACTTGGCTTGGCCCACCTTGTTGGACTCGCCCGACATCCCATGAGGTGGGTTGTTCTCCTCAAAGCTGTTCTACAGATGAAGACACTGAGACAACGAAATCAGGGGGTGCAGCTGTGCTCACGTAGACCCTAAGTTCAAGTGTGGCGCCCAAGCTGGAATGCGGGACCGAGCTCTACATGCTCCTCTGATTCATAGAGGCTGCAGTCATAGAAGAGGCGGGGGGTTGCCTGCAAAGCTCTGCAGCCCCCAGGTTCCAGATCTGGCTTTGCATAGGTCTTACGCAATCTCAGACACGCCACAAAGACTCTCTAGGTCATACCTCTTCAACGACAGCAAGCAGCACTCAACTGTGGAGTGTCTGTGGCCCTCAGAAGCTGTTTGGCAATGTCTGAAGGTTTCTTTGGCTTGTCACAGTTTCGCGGGGAGGTGCTCCTGGCATCTGGTGATTAGAGGCTGAAGATGCTTGCTGCTCAACACCCTGCAATGCGCAGATGGCCCATGACGAAGACCTAGAGTCCTACAGAGGAGGCGCCATGACTTCCACAGGCAGCCTACATCACATACTATTCTGAGAGTTCCAGGAGCTGATGCAGAGGATGATCCCGAGGTGGAGACCATTGGCCTAAAGGTCTGAGTGCCCAAGGGGTCCGAATTCTCTTGTGTGGATCTTCTCCATATTCGCCTCAATGATAGGTTCCACTTCCTCCATGAACCCCGTGTTTTCCTCAGAGCGGAACCCCGCAGGGCCCCAGGGCTGCCGGGCCTGCTGGCTGCAGTTCATCAGCTCCCAGTCTGCTGGGTTGTTTTCTCCGGGACGTCCAACCTCCTTGCCTGACTGCATTGCATCTTGCTCGTTCCTGGCATGGCCTCTGACAGCTGGACTTACTGAGGAAAATCCTCAGCCCTAGAGGAAAGTGCTCAACATGGCCCCCACCACACTCCCTGGCTTAACCTGGCCCCAGAGCAGGACAGTCAGACATTTCTTCTCTGTGTAGCAACAGCCTCCTCCCCCTCAACCCCGCCCCCGGTTATCTGTATTTACTCTGAAAATCATTTCCTCTGCTTTACTCAGTTTTCCTCTGAGCCCAATTGCCTGCTCAGTTCTCTGTCCTTTCTGTTTATTTCTACTTCTCATTTTTCCCATTGATCAGATGCCCTGGAAATATAGCAGGAACAGTGTGTTCCCTGTAATATTTGGTTACACTTAATATTTCTCAGCAAAACGTTGACTTGGAGAACCAAGCAGTAAAAATCCAGGCCTGCTCTGCTTACACTGGACAGCGGCTTCAGCACAGGCTCCGATTCATGATGGATCTATTCCCTCCTTAAAGGGGAATTGCACCCAGGCAAACACAGGAAGGTGCCCAGCAGGGGAACCACCAAACTCCCCCACAGGAAACCTTTCCTCAGATAAGCGGGTGCCTATGGCATACTTGGTGCCCGACTGAATAAAGACATCACACGTAGGGGAAGTGCCAGGTGAATATGCTGTCGAGTTCCAATGCTCCTTAAACAGAACAGTTTTTCTAAACCAGCCTTTGCCATCAGCGCTGCTAATGCTGGTTTTCTCCGATGCCACCTTCGGAGGATGTAAATCAAGCTGAGAATGAATGAAGCTTTTGGGTGCAGCGGTCCTTCAGGCCTCCTCGGGTGGGCAGATGAAAGCTACATACTCTTTCTCCAGACCTCCAGTGCCAACAAACATCACAGACCAGGCTGAACGTTCAGAAACTCCCCTGGGTGAAATTGAATAACCATGGCAGAGACCATTGGCTTGAACCTCAGACTCCCTAGGGGACACAGTCCTCCTGCGTGGATCTCCTCCATGTTGGCTTCGATTATAGGACCCACTTCCTCAATGAACCCGATGGTTTCCTTAGAATAAAATCTTGCGGGTTTAACCCTCAGGAGGACCCCACGCATGGATGGCCACGGGTTCCAAGTGAAGAACCAATCTCTACTTACCAGTTTAGGAAACATTACAAGTGATGTATTGCTCAATTATGTTAACAGAAAACAACATAATTCAAACTCTTACTCACACCTATCAACATTTTGCATCTTGAGGTTTCTCTTTGGGTACAAAGATATATTTTTGTGTGTGGTTTAAAAAAACTTTCTTAATGTTTATTTGTTCTTGAGACAGAGAGAGAGACAGAATAAAAGCAGGGGAAGGGTAAAGAGAGAGGGAGACACAGAATCCGAAGCAGGCTCCAGGCTCTGAGCTGTCAGCACAGAGCCCGATGCGGAACTTGAACTCACAAACCATGAGATTATGTCCTGAGCTGAAGTCTGATGCTTAACCAGCTGAGCCACCCAGGCACCCCAGCCCTTTGTGTGGCTTAAAGAAGCCAATAAAATGAGTACACTGAAGAAGGAAATTGAAAACACAGATTTTCTAGGAAGTCCATTCTCATCTCTCACCTATTGCAATGCATTTAACAAGGGACCCATCAAGTCACTATGTACCAGCAGCCATGACCTGAAGACTTGGATATGTAAGGACATGACCACAAATACCCTGAAAACAGTATACCGGGCTGCGTTGCCCTCTGAGTGGGCAGGTGCTGCTTGCCTCCACTGAGTCTGAGAATATTCCCCTACAAGTATCTGCATCACTAACCCTACCCCATTCTCTTAAGGAGGGAGATCCTGGATCTTTGGCCCAGCCACCAGATCTCTCTCTCTCTCACCATGATCCCAGTCATGGGAAGTGGGGAGGGGGACACGGCAGAGCTCACCAAGCTGTCTGCAGTTTGAGGTGGGAAGGTGGGAAGAACCTCAGTGGGGAAAACCACAGAGGCGGTGAAGAGGGAGGGTAGAGGTCAGTGAACCCAAACCAGGGAGAAGGCAGTAAGGAAGCCAATGTGACAGGGAGTGGGGCTGTAGAGACATGAGTGTGTGCATGCCCAGGAAGAGCTGTTGAACAACATGATGATAATCCTCAATTTCCCAAACAAGGGCAGAGTGAACTGCATTACTGGTCATTTCTCCTGCAGTTGGGTATTTGTTTCTTTTGGATACATCCCCTGCGTGAGATGGGCTTTAAGGATCTGGTTTTAGGGGCGCCTGGGTGGCTTAGTCGGTTAAGCGTCTGACTTTCGCCTAGGTCATGATCTCACGGTTCGTGGGTTCGGGCCCCGCGTCGGGCTCTGTGCTGACTGCCAGCTCAGAGCCTGGAGCCTGTTTCAGTCTGTGAC